ATTACAATACACTTAAAAGCGACCGTCACAGTATTCTAATTTTCTAGGTCAAGCATTCCAAGGGTTAAGGAACGTAAAATATCTTGAGCTTTCAAGTAATAAAGATTGTTTTGTCCGCTCTAAGCCTGGGCCAGCTGGCGTGACCATAAGCCTAAGCGACGGCCATAATGGCCAGTGAGAAGGGTCACGCGTATTTTGTAGCCAACAACGGTCCCACCGCAAGTCGTGGCGATGCACAAAATTGGCCCATGTCCTTCTGTGGCGACGCCAGTGTATTTTGAAGATCTTATTCGTATCGTTATTCTTTTTAATTGGAGTTTAAATTGTTATTTTAATTCTGATTTTTATTTTTGCTAAATAACGAAAATCTAGTCATATGATAACGGAACGGTGAAGGGGTCCCACTGGCCAACTCGTGATCCGAGGAACGCGAGTTCAATTCCCACCACCGTTTGATTATTGTGGTAAACCTCGTAACACAAGCATATTTAATTTTAGCTTACGATGAGGTATAGTAATAGTAAGTATATTCCAGAAGTTTGCTAAGAAAAAAGGTTACAAATCATTAAAACAAACCAGATGAAGAAGACAAAAGAAGTCAAATAAAAAACGTATTCGTATACTATTCGTATTTGTATACTTCATCCATTGTTTAAACTCTTTTATCCCCTTTTAACTACGTTTAACTTCTGGCCTTACCGCTAAAAGGTCACAAAAAACAAAAACTAGTAGTTGCAGTAATATCGCATAATCGTCTCATCCAGTAGCACAAGTTAGATGCTAATAGCTAGTTAGCAACCATTGTAGCTCCTAAGCAATGGCCTCGGTTCTTTAAAAAACATACCCCTTTTTCTAGCACAGTCGGGTAAAACCCTATGAATAGTTCATTACGACGACTTTAATATATCGGGAATAGTTGAGCTTTTTCAACGAGCTTTAGCTCCTGAGCGTAGATTTATCTGAAAAACTTGCTTGCAGTAGAAATAATGAAGTCTGAAGAAAATTAAAGTGTAGAAATATAATGTAATCGTGGCAACTGTAGAAAGATGAGAATTTTGAGAAACGTAAAAAGGTACGCGAATAGTACTGAAAAATCTTTTCAGTTACGTTATTTCAGTATACTTATGTCGAGCTGTATGTGTAGACAGCCGAGTCTCTTTATAACCTACTCTATCTATTCTACTCTCTTAAAAGAGTCAAACAAAATAACCACCCACTAATTGACAATTTAAGCGGTTTTATGGCTAAAAATACCATTAAAGAAAAACCTACATATTTGACATTGACCAATTATGGAACTAATTTGCAATTAATAGCTTTATTTCGCTATTTTAACAGTCGAGAAAAACCGTTTGAAGTTGCAACAAAGGTACCTTAAATTTTCATAATCGTTCCATACAAATCTTCCACAGATTTTATCCCTACATGATAAGCGTAAAAGTGCCAGAATTTACGGGTATCTTTATTGGCCGGTTGTAAAACAAGTAATAAACAACCGTACACAAATTATAACGCGTGCCGAATGCTCATGACAGGCCCCGTTTTTATAGTCGATGGTCATTCGGTTGCAATCCGAGCTGTGATTTTTTGGGCGAATGTAAGTAAAACTTGTCTGTTTTCCGATTGTTTTCGCGTCAACAGAGTTGAAAATTGGCTGGAATATTTTTTGTGACGTTAACAGGGATGCTACTACATATTTGCGGTATTTCTGGACCGATATGAAGTACAAATTTTCAAGAAGAGGTGTTGTAACTCACATTTCAAAGGCCGGCAACGCACTTGTAACTCTCCCGGGGCTGCGGGTGTCTATGGTCGGCGGTAATTACTTACCATCAGGTGATCCGTTTGCTCGTTTGCCTCGTGTCCCATAAAAATCACATTTATTGAAATCACTACATAGTAAAAAACAAAGTCGCTTTCGGCTGTCTGTCCCTATGTATAATGCTTAGATCTCTAAAACTACGCAACGGATTTTGATGCGGTTTTTTTAAATAGATAGAGTGATTCAAGAGGAATGTTTATACTTAGCACTCATGCGAAGCTGGGGCGGGTCGCTAGTATTACATAAACTATCAGCGTAGTGTTGGACGAATAAAACACTAGTACCTACTTACGTTGATGTATGTACTTTAGCCCTAGATTTAAATACGCAAAGCTAAGCCGAGTTTGTGTTGTTCGAGCAAATCTCAGAAACTAATGCTTTTATTTTATTTTTAGCATTACGACAGGATTATTCGCAGAAAAGTTAGCTATTCGTTGATTTAACGAAGCAATAATTCCAAGAAATAAATCGTTTTTAACTGAGTTAGCATTTTAAGCGGAATTTTTTGACAGACCTAAAAACTATGTCAATTTCACTGTTGGCTCGACACTATTTTAATTTACCTCTATTCTGAGAGCCATTTTTCTTTTCTAACAATCACATAACATCATAATAACACCACATCTACCTACGTTTCCCCATATCCTTTTGTAGCCTTATGGGTACAAAGTTATGGGCAACATAAGAGGTCATACGAAATGAGTGATAGAATGCAATAACATCAGCAACATTCGTATGTTATCCCGTGAATGATGACATTTGCATTCACAATCCTAAATACGGAGCCTCTGGCTTTTAGGATATAGTAAAAATGTAAACAGCAAGTTCAATTAAAACAACAAGTGACAAATTCTCCCACTTTGTTTTTGACATATCAGCAATTGTTAAGTTGCTACCGTCTGACTTAAATTATCTTCCTACATTAAATGTGGTCCTTCGAGCCGGATGTGGTTCAATAAATTATATCTGAAGCTGCGAAAGTTATTGAGGAAGCATTTAAAGCAATTTCTTGTACTAGGTACTACTACTATTGAATACCTACTCTGTCATAATGTCGAGTCAAGTACTTAATGACCGGAAAAGAGGATTTTTAGATGTCACTTCAAGCAGACGTGGTCTTACTGTATAGTCTACTTCTGTTACATGAAGTGTGTTTCCCCATTTAGACATCTTATGGTGCACTTTTGTGTATTACGGGTATAAACTTAATGTCAGTCATTTGTTCCTTCTTTTTTGTTTTTACTTTTTACTTCTTTTATGGCTCTGTCTCAGAAACTTAATTTATCACCCAAAAATAATAAATATAATAATAATAAATCTTTGGACAATTTCACACAGCGCCAGCTAGCCCCAAAGTAAGCAACTTAATGCTTGTGTTATGTTAATAAAATGTTATTTACTACCCTGCCTGCTGTGTTTGAAGTCGGTGTAAAGCCCGGAACAGAGTGAGTAAAACTATTGTGTAACATTAAAATGTGTTGAGCCTTAAGAACATTATTCTTTCCAAACTAAACCAACAGCGTAAAAAGTGGCCAATGGAGACTCCCACATAAAACACCAAAGTCAAACCAATAAACCGTCTATTGGCAATACACCCGATTGCAATTTGAATTCCCAGCTTGAAAAACGCGTAGCTAACGTCTTTTAATATTTATTATCCTATTTCGTGAAAAATTTCACCGATTTCCTTAAAGCACCGTGGGGCCATCAGCATCGACACATGAATTTATTAGCCAATAAGTCGGCACAATCCAGTTCGCCTTGTAAAGTAATACAGCGGGGTTCAGTTGGATCTATATACGTCGGGAACAGTTATTATGATGTTCTTTAATTGAATTGAAACTAAAATTATGGAATTTAAGCAAAGAACGGAACGGACTCTCAATTTACCCATAGTGCATAGTGGCAAAGTAGTGGATTCAACTGAAACCGTAAAATTCTTGGGTCTACATATAGATAGCAATTTAAAATGGCAAAGTCATATAGATTTTGTGTGTAAGAAACTTTCCCAGTCATCATACAGTCTTTACCACTTATCAAAAAAAGTAAATCTCCCTGCGTTGGTCACGTCTTACCATGGCTTCGTAGCTTCCAGATTGAGGTACGCCATAATCTTTTGGGGAAATGCTACTAAATGGGATAGAGTATTTAGGTGTCAAAAAAAGTGTATACGTGCTATGTGTGGCTTGAAGAGAACTGACAGTTGCAAACCTCAAATCAAATCAAAATCAAATCAAATCAAATCAAAATCATTTATTGCATAATGTAGGTACATATTATAGGTCACATAAAAAATATATTGTTCAGCTACATCATACCATATCGGCATGCAACAGAATCAATTTTTCGTGATTCAAGAAATTATACAAAAGAATTAAATTAAATGTCACAATAATAATTAACAATGTCAAATTTAGTAGATAGAATTTAATATTACATTAGTATGTCAATTTGTCACATAGATTTGATAATAACAAGGTCAAACAAACAATTTATGTAGAATAATGTCTTTAAATGGATCTATCCAGGAGGAATTCGCTAACTGAGTAGTATGCTTTATCAATTAAAAAGTCGTGTAGGATTTTTTTAAAAATAAATAAGTCTTCTTTATTTCTTATGGTATGTGGTAATTTATTATAAATTCGCGGTGCCATACCTGGTAAGTTTTTTGTAAACAATGCTGTTTTGTGTTCAGTTGAGCATATTCTGTTTTTGTGTCGTATACTTTTATGTACTGAGAATAAAGGAGGATTTCTTCTGACAAATAAACATNGCGACGCATCGACAGCCCTAGCACCGAGCGCGGAGATTTTGACAACCCTACGGCTGCGCGGCCGCACGCCGCACGGACCGAGTTAATATAAGAGACGGCGGCGACCGCGGGCGCCTAGCATTCGCTCGGGAGCCATCGTAACAGCCAGACGATCGCGCGCGCGTCTACGGCTAATTACGCAAGAGTCCCTAGCGAATAGCTACCCTCACTGTTCCCACTAACCTGGCTCGATAGGACTTTCGGCTCGCGCGGTTTCCGTGACACGAGCGAACCATCGTTGCCTGTATACACATTACAATCCTTACCGAGTGCATGCTTTACTCAATCCCGACCTGCGGTAGCAATCCCGCTGCCACCCTTCCTGGATTCCTCCCCCACTCGCCACGTAGGTCCTAAGCCTTTTTACCTTTGGTACTCGAACCCCCACTTCGTTGACCTCGGCACAGAATAAGTAATAGTACAGGTACAGAAGGATTACTCCGCAAGACGATTTAAATAAATGCGAGTCTTGCTACGACGCGATACAGTGGAATTCAGCTCGCACAGCACTACGTACCTACAATTTTATTCACCTACAAGTTTTGTCTCTTTCTATCGCGTGTCTCTGAACTCTTCTTACGCTGTTAGGGTTGCTGTCTAGTGAAAAAATAATTAATCTACTTATTTGTAATGAGGTACGTATGTAGGTAAGTATGCATTCATTATGGAAAACCTTCATAGTAGGTTAGGTTCCTATACTATCCTAAGAATTATTGATTAACTACATGACCAACATACCTTTCAGCATCTTTGGGAAGCGAAAAAAAAAGATAAATCCGGTAGATTACTTTTCGAATTTAAACACCCGAACGCCGCACAATATTTCTTTCTACACACAATATTAAATAATACTTCGACACAATATTCATAGAATTATAATCATACTACAACGCACGCCAGCGTCCTGACGAGCGAGCGCGTGACACTCTACTGATATAATACCCGCCGGCGGGGCGCTTCGCTGTAGGTAATTATCGGATGTGCCGCGCGGAGTGAGCCAGGCCTGACCTCGGTTACCGATTTGGTGAGCGGACCGTCCTACCCCCCTAGTTTATAAGTATCCAAACTAATACTCGCTAAACCTCGCACAGGGCGCCGCCCCTCTCGCGGATTACGTAAACTAGTCTCGGGACGCGAACCGGGCGCGTCGCTATCCCTCTTGTCATAGTAGATTTGCAATTGTGGAATAACTTACTCATTGTTTAAATAATAGTAATTTAGAGTCAGTGAAACTAGAATTAGTAAACTATTGTAGAACCTGAATTATAAGTGCCATTGTGTTATTGATTGTGCGTTTCCTTGGTCGAATATCCCTGTAGGCATCCTGGATAGGTACACATCCCTCATCGCAGAAGGCGAACTGGGACTTAGTACTAAAGAGCGGGGTGTCAGACTGAGCTAGCTAAGACGCCCCGTTGCAGATTTAAGGATTTAAAGTAAGGTTTACAACTTTCAGTAGGTTTAATTTGACAGATTGATCCTATGCATTTCTTTTGGGCTCTGAAAGCTATTTCCCTGTCTGTAGAATTTCCCCAAAATATAATACCATATTTTAAAGTTGATGAAACATAGGCATGATAAGCAATAGGGTGGAGCACGGTTGTATGGGAAAAAAATTTTTTTTAGTTTCGAAGTTCTAATAGGGGGGGATTTGTGCCTTATATGAAAGTATAAATAACTGTAATTTTTTATCCCATTTAATGAATATCTTCTGCCTCCGCAGTGACTTCAAAATTTTAAAATTTTATTTAAAGTTGAAAGTCGTCTAAGGTGAAATATTGCGCACTATTTATTAGTAAGAAGGTATTAAATGACAGATAATTTATAGATTAGATATTTACTAAGGTAATATAACAAGAAATACATACAAGAATTAGATAAATTACTTTAATTATTATGCTTGAAAATCCTTTTTTGATCAAAATTTAGGCATCACGTTTCGCGATTCCAACTTGACTTTTATTGCACCTTATTAGTGACTTTCTGGATGCAGTGAGAAATAGAATCTTTGATCGTAATCTTCACAGGTCTCTCAACAGCTTGAGTGAGGTAGAGAAGCCTTAAAACAAAGGTTTGCTCTCACCACCAGATTTGACAATGTGCTGAATTTCTTAGTCAAATAAATATCTCAAAAGCGGCTGTTTGGTTAAGTAAATTAAATAAATATATCCTCATTTTCAAAATTTAAAAATATTGACTATGCCATGCCTTTATATATTTGAGCTGGCTCTATTTATTAGACATAACCCTTCCCTGTTTAAAATAATACCGAGATCGCGTAATCGCAATATTCTTATAGCCGTTGATGGATGTGTGTCATATAAGACAGCCCTCTACGACATGGGTGTTTTTGCTATGGCTCCGAAAATTTATAATAAAATACCTAATCATATTAAAGAGTGCACTGATATCTCAATCTTTAAACAAAAGCTATTTATATTTTTGGTCAGTAACAGTTTTTATTCAGTACATGAGTTCCTACAATTTAAATAAAGTTTTTCTACAATTTCTTCCTTGACAACATTGACTCTAATAACCGATTGACTGCCCTGCATTAATTTATTTTAATCTTGCAATTTATTTAACTGACATTTATGATTTTGACATTTAATTTGCTCATTATTACTTTTCTTTAACATAATATTATACTTAAAATCACGCTTTAACATTTGTATGCCGACAAGGCTGATCACGGCTTGAACACATATCTTGTTTGTACATCATACTGCTTACCTGTGTTTCACAAATAAATTATTTGAATTTTGAATTTGAATTTGAATTTGAATTCTTTGGGTACTAAATTACAGGCATAAGATTTACAGAAGAAATGTTAGTAAGAGTAGGCGCACACCGTTGATTTTTCGTCGACCGATAGTTTAGTCGGGCAGTTGATCAGTATGGGCATGTATGGAAGTGCGCACACTACGCCGATTCGATTTGGCCGATTCTTCATACAATTTAAAATCAGGCACAACTATCGGCCAGCTAAAAATCAACGGTGTGCGCCTACTTTAAAACAAAAACTGTAAAGGATTCGTTCGTTTCAGCCAAAATGACGTCCACTGTTGGACAAAGGCCTCCCTTAGGATTTCCACAATGACCAGTCCTGCGCTCTCTATCCAGGTGCTTCCGCGTGTTATTAATAACGTTTTTAAAAGAAGATAACATTTGCTCCTTTAATAAATATTCTGAGAAGTCTTATTTTAGATTTGTAACGATTTTCTGTCGAAGTAGGAGGACGTCAAAATCATCGTAAAATTTATTACATTTTAGACGATATTTTTGTCGTTATTCAGTCGTTCATGATATTGTATGACGGTGATTTTAGGCCAGATATGATAAGCTTTTGAATTCAAATTCACATGTAAGAGTTTCTTAAACTTAACTTTGCAAAATTTTGTTAAAACCAATTCCCTCACAGTTCACATTATACTATTTGCACAAAGGCAGTACTTATAAATCGTTGTTGTAACAACGTGATTTCTTTTCCATCAAGTCTGCACCAACCCTTACCCGCTTTACGGATCCTTGTGGTGAATTACAAGTAGCTGTAATTGTTTCCAAAAGTAATATAGTTTGAAAGAAAGGTTTTTTGCTGCTACAGACATTCTTATTCAAATTTCTTTTTTCGATCTTTTATTTCGCGTCGCGGTTTTTGTATACGAATAATAATTCGTACTTTAAAAAAAGGGGATTTAACGTCTTTCAGGGTCATAGACTTTTGTTGTAAGGTCAAGTAGTAGTATGTAGTGCAGTCAGTGTCAAATAGTTGGCGATACACAAAGTGGCCAAAAAATTTACAACACAATCTTATTCCAATTGTAACAAAGACGTGTTGCGAACTTTTTGGTTACTTTGGTATGGTACAGCCATAAAACAATTCCGTTTAGTACTTACTTCGCTTACTGTTTACACTTTGTCACACTAATTAAGTATCCGCCAAGCTGAGCGCGAAGCAAACACTGCCGTACCATCCTTTACTGGAACCATTTCGCCGCATTTATAGACCCCTATTTGAGAACCTCTGGATAATTTTATCTTAGAAGAGACAATAAAATTATGATTGATTTTGATTTATAACACATGAACTATAAAAAACGAATCAATTGCTATTCAGACAAATTGGTAATCGAAATCTACAAACGACTGTAGAGAAGTGTCGGACTGTCAATTCAAAAGTTATTGGTTCGATTCCCATCGATCGTGGGACTATTGTGTAATGACATTTTCTTCACTAAAATTGCTAATTTATACACTTTTTAGCTTATAATTACTTATTCAATTACCAAGCTAATTACGTACTAATTAAAATACTTAACTAATTGTGTTTTTACGACACAAAGTATACGCGTGTAAGGCCTTCTTAGAATACACACTTCCTATTAATCAATTCCACGAACAATATTTGCTCACGATTTGATGTTCCAGGACGCGATACTGAATATTGTGAATATCCGCTTTGCCCCGATCGGTTTCCAATGACAATATTGAATATTGCTAATATTAACCGTCACACAAATTGACCTTTGTTAGTTTATGGGTTTATTATGTTAGTGACAGGAGAAATTAATTTCTGAACCCTTTGAACGAGATTTGAGACGTTTTCGAGGTTAATTTCGAAGGTTAATATTGATTATTGGATTAATCTATTTGAATTAGTTCCTAGTGCAGTGCTTAGAGTTTAGATTCTACTAGCTTTCCGCCCGCGGCTTCGCTCGTGTGGAATTTTGTCTGTCACAGAAAAACTTTATCGCGCGCGTCCGTGTTTCAAAAACCGGGATAAAAACTATCCTATGTCCTTTCCCGGGACTCAAACTATCTCTATGCCAAATTTCATCAAAACCGGTCAGTGGTTTAGGCGTAAAAGAAAGACAGACAGAGTTACTTTCGCATTTATTATATTAGTATAGATAATTACTACAGAGGTCTTGAGTTCAGTGCTTAACCAATTCAGCATCTAGAAGTCCATAGTAATACTTATTGGCTTATAGACTTCCACGATAGTTTTGGTTGGGCTTTAAATTTTCAAAGACAAAAATTGTTAGAAAATTAATTTGCCGTGAAAAAATCTGTAGAAAGATGGTCTGAACTTAATTAAAATTTTATCAAACCTGTCCTTTACACTTAATTAAACGTTATTCATAAACCAATGCTGTCAAATATAGTAAATTTAACATAATTTGTGTAACACTGCCTTAATATATTATTAACATCAAACTTTCTCCAAGCACATTAATTTTCGCATCGTAAATTGAAGCCATGTAGAGCTTTAAAGCTGTAAAATTAGAGTAGGTATTATTATTTGAGTACGGTAAATAATGTTTAATTACATTCTATAAGAGACACATAATAAGGGATCTAATTTCATTCCTATTTAAGTTATTTTGGGTTCGTTATTTTTAGGGCCCAATTAAGAATTTTCGATCAACGACCTATTTTTAGCGGAATCAATCAATCTAATCAAATTAAATAAATTGGGATAGAAATAATAATACATTGTCTGACTTATAAAACTGTTCAGTAAAGTACCTAAGTAATTAAGAGAGGGAAGTAAGAGCTTATTGGAACTACTTTATTGTGAACTAGCGGCCGCCCGCGACTTCGTACGCGTGGATCCCGTTTTACCCACTTCATCTATCTTACGCGGTTTAGATTTCTTCATACAAATGTTTTTTCCCGCTAACTCCCGTTCCCGTGGGAATTTTGCAATATCCTGTTGTAACCAAGCTTTAAGTTTACTCGTACTAAGGTACCTGCATCCAAATTTCAAGCGTCTAACTTAAGCGGTTTAGATTTTTCATACAAAAGGATTTTCCCGCTAATTCCCGATCCCGTGGGAATTCCTAAGTTTACTATAACCTGCCCAGGAGTATGAAGAATAATTATACCAAGTTTCGTTAAAATCCGTCGAGTAGTTTTTGTTTCTATAAGGAACATACAGACAGACAGACAGACAAAAATTTTACTGATTGCATTTTTGGCATCAGTATCGATAACTAATCACCCCCTGATAGTTATTTTGAAAATATATTTCATGTACAGAATTGACCTCTCTACAGATTTATTATAAGTATAGAATATTTGTGACAAAGGGATTCGAAACTTTTTGGGAACAAATCTCTTATTGGGGTTTATTTTTGGATCAAGGTATAACATCAGTGTGCTTACCATGAGTTTACGTTAGGTATGCTCGCTAGCGACTGCGTAAAAAAATGACATTAATTGTATGACATATTGTGCAGCGCCCCTAGCGGCTACTTTCAAGAAACAAATGCTTCATAGAGATATTTGACGTACTCGCTAACGAGCACACCTAACGTAAACTCATGGTAGGTACACAGGCCTAAATAATATGTAGCAGTAAAATACTTTAACAAATTAGTTTAAAAAAGTTTTTTTAACAAATTCAAGAGGACATTTTTTAAAATAATAGTGGCATATGTTTTGCTAGGCTACTTAAGATGCTAGGTGTCTTACCTTCATTTCTTTCTTTCTTTTTTTTTATTTCTTTTGGTTCCTAGCTAATCCTTTAATAATTACGAAAAACTACGACCCTGAAGTTTTCATTAGACCAGCTTAGGCACTAACACGTTACAACATTAACCGGTAAAAGCCCGGCATTACCCGACGAGTGAGCTGGATAAAGTAAATGAAAGGAGCTAAGTGCGACATTATTCTTCGTTGGTACCCTCTGAGCGGAAAGTGAGTATGAAGCTAGGTACCAAGTGAGTATAGTACCTTAGTTGACGTGGCTTGAATATGGTACTAAATTATGTGTTAAATAATAAGCGAAAGGTCTCACTCATCACGAAATCTCAGAAACTACAAGTGTAAAGAGTCTCAAATTTTGCATGGACCCCTTTTAGAACGTAGGTGCTCACTAAGACGGGATTTTTCAAAATTCAACCCCTAAGGGGGTAAAACCAGGCCTGTTCATCTCCGCGAGTTTGCATCGAAAACAAAACACGCACGTGTAGGTACTTATTCTTCAACCATTTTCATTGTGAATACAATAAACTATGTATGTAAAAACGGTAGTGTAATTAATACTGTGCAGTATTTTAACTGCCTGAATAATAATAGAAACACAAAATAAATGCTTAATCATATTTCCTTCGCCATTTTCCGCAGTTTGGCACCTCACGTCACACATCATTTTACCGAAGTCA